TATCTTGGGCTGTGTATTTAAGCAGTAAATTAGAATTGTAAGGCCAGGGGAGGCTGTAAAGTCTCTCCCAACCCCAATTAGGCAGTTATACTGAGGGTGACCCATATACTTTATTGGCCAAACCAGAACACTTTTGAGAATTAAAAAAGATACTATTAATAATTACCTGAAGACAACAGGTATAAACTAAGGCTGATCCTGGACAACTGGAAGATATGGTCAGACTTGTCATTTTAATTCACCCTGCGGAGAGGCGTTCCCACAAGAGAGAGAGAGCTTTATGAGTGGGGCTGGACTTTATTATTAGTCATGAATCACTAGATTGTTTCTTGAAAATTAAATATATATTTAAGGAACTCTTTTGGATATCTGTAAGAGGCACGTTGAAAAATTCTCATCCAAAGCTTTTGGTCATAGTCACTCTGGAGCTCATGGTTCTGGGGAGACTGAGGTTCAAAGGGAGCTTGGCCTGGAGGAAAGGAAACCAGGGAGTTGTGTTTCCCCACTTGGGTGAAAATGCATGCCCTAGAATCAGTGCCCAACCGAGGCACTCAGTATATGCTCAATAAATAATGATTGGAATGACTAAGCACATCCTGCATTGGATTGTGACCTTAGTGATTCATAGTTGTACAACAGAAAAGAAATTTCTCTCTTTCCGTGGATGTAGCCCTAATGAAGACCATTTGATGAGAACTCAAGAGTTGCATAGGCACAAACTTGTTTGTTGATTTGGATTAAGAGGAGAATTAAGCGGGGAGAATATATTTCATTTACTTTGGGAAAGCCTCCCTGCTGAATGAAACAATAGGAAAGATTCCAAGGCTGCATGGTGATTAGATGAGAGTGTCAAGAAGAGTGGTATCAGGTGATTCTTCCAATATTCAGACGTTTATTGAGCACCTGCTCTGTGGCAGGTGTTGCCCAAGGTGCTGAGGTTCAAGGTAGAGAAGAGGGTTCCTGTTCTAGGGGAAATCACAGACTGGTGAGAAAACATATAAACATAAAGACATCGTGACAAAATGTAATAATAACGATATGTAAAGATACAGTAGTGACAGGAAGAAAAGAAAAAGTCTTCTACCTGGGAATTCAGGAGCATCCATGGAAAAAGTGATACTGGAACTGTGTGATGTGTTGACTTGGGAGTCAGCAGACCTACTGGGTAGAGAAAGGAAAGCAAAAATCACGTGGCCTGCATTTTAAGTGGTTGTTGTAACCTTGCTAATAGCTTGTTTTATTTAAACTAGACCTTTCAAGGGTAAAGTCACATATTTTGATTACAGTGGTGGGCTGAAAAACACCATATACCTATTTGTAGGTCTACTTAAACCTGAATAAAGCTCATTTCATATTCTGTCAGAATCATACGAAGGACTTCTTGGGAGAACAATTTTTTAGCTACCCAAGGGGAATGGAGGGCAGTGCCTTGTATTTTCAAACCTCGTAGTTTGGAATTCCATTCTTAAGCCGATCCTACATTTAATTGCACTAGTAGCTACTTTTGTTTAACATTTCTTTTCATTTCAGTTTATCTTTGGGGATGAGAGAGGACTGATAGAAGAGTGGGTCAGATACTCTGTAGTTGCTGGTGTTTGAGCAAAACGCTTCACTGTTTCAAGTGGTCTCCTACACCTATTGAGACTCAAGGATTTTAAGTCCATTGTCTCTTTTAGAGCTGCTTTCTTTTCCTTTGAGGAATTTTTATCTGTTTACTAGTCTTTCTCCTGTTTTTTTTTCAACATGAGCAACATCAAACTGTTGGACACTCATAGCTAGAGCAAGAACAAGTTCTGATTTTACACTCATTCTCGTGTTAACTATTCTAGGATTATATTACTCAGAGTCTTTCAAAGTTTGAGAGCCCTGTCTTCACCCTGTCTTCAGTGGTTTACAGTCCTGTGCTGCCTGGGACGATGCCTCTTCTCCTTTTGCGGTGAAAAACATAGCACCTCCTCTCTTTCCAAGCACAGAAGCTGGGGAAGGTGACATGGTTGTGATGTGACATGGGGGCTCAGAGAAGCAGGGATGACTTGAATAAATAAATCTTTATGGCGCTTTAGAAATGTTTTTCCTCTGGAAATTGAAAAACAGAGCTCATACAGGGATATTTTATTTCATGCAGAAATGAAATTGGAACTTGGTATAAAAACCCGTCTTCTAAACTGAATGTGATGTAAAAACTTGAGCATTCTGGTCCCTCGTAGATTACATTAGCAGAAGTTCCCTTAGAAAGAGCCCTGGAGAAGTGCTCCTGACCAGTGCTCTGGTTACAGCAAAGTCCCTAGAGCGCTGGTTAAAATTGCATATTCCCAGGCTCCTGCAAGGGCCAGTCAGGCTTGAACTGAGGAGGATCCCAGAGTCTGCATTTCTACTGAGCATCCCTCCCTCCACTGGATTGTGCTTGTGTAGGTGCCTTAGTCCATCTTAGTTGATCCGGCTGCTATAACAAAATACCACAGACTGGTATTCATCAGAACCCAACCTTGATGGCACCTGACCTCCACTTCCAGCCTACAGAATGTAAAATGAACTGCAGAAATTGCTCACGTTCTGGAGGCTGCAAGTTGGAGGTTTAGATGCCATCGAGGCTGGGTTCTGATGAGTGCTCTCTTCTAGATTGCAGACTTCTTCTTTTATCGTCACATGGTGGAAGGTGCAAGGGAACTCCCTAGGTTCTCTTTTATAAGGGCACTAATTCCACTCGTGAGGGTTCCACCCTTATGACCTAATCCCCTCCCAAAGGCCCTTACTACCATCACATTAAGGATTAGGTTTTCAGTTCATTAGGTTGAATTGGGGTGGGGGTGGGGAACACAAACTTCAGACTATGGCTATAGAGAATCACTTGGAATTTTCCCCAGTGTTAGCCAGATTTTCTCATAAATCAGTATGTTTAGGATAACAAGTTCCAGGATTGCAGCACTCACAGGTGCAGAAACTCCCCCTGTGTGGGGTGGCTGCTGCCCAGAGTCAGCTGGATGTTAGAGGGAGCTGAGCAGAGTGCCCCAAAATCTCATCACTCTCTGCTCTCCATGCTGCTGAGAATGCTCCAGCTTAAAGATTCCAAAAGAAACTTTCTTAACTCTTCTATCTCCACTCCCAGGAAACACTGATCCAGAACCTGAGCCTGCTTCCCTGGGTGGCTGGCACTGGGTCTTAAGTATCCTCATGAGAAAGGGCAAGTGGCAGGGTGCCTGCTTCTGGATGAGATAGCTCTGTATACTCAGGTTTATCCAATCCATGCAGAGCCTTCCCTTCGCTAGGAAGGCCCACTTCCTATTGCTTTCCAAAACAGTGATCATCCTGGTCTTCGTCAACAAATACTCATTCATGAATATGTATTAGGCTCCTACTGTGTGCTCTGTTTTAGGCTCCAAAGATTCCAGGGAACAAGAGAAATAGGCCCTGTGCTTATAGAGCAAACTTGTGGGTCATATCAGTGTGTCTAGACCCTCTTCTAAGCCCACTGGTCTCACAGATCATTTAGACCATGCGACCAATGTCCTGTTGTGTTCTCATTTTTATTGTGATTTTTATTCTGTAACACTGAGCTAAGAAACAATGACTTCTCACAGAGGGTTTTAGAAAACATCCCTACTGCTGAAGATGGCTCTGCCCATTGCAGAAGCTTTATCGGCTCCTGGCCTTGGCTCTCAGGGAGACCGTCTTTACTAAAGACAGCAGGTCAACTTTAGAACAATTGGCTTTCTGTTTGGATGTCCTTGGTCTGTCACTCGGAAAGTAAGTATTTTGCTTTGGCCTGTAACCTTGTGGTTCCACAAAAGCAACCATTTTTTCGCTTCATGAGCTTTCTGTGTATTTAAAATCCATCTGAAACTTGAACCTCGTATTGCTTTCTCAAATCTCAAAAAGAGTTTAGAATTTTTGTGCAAAAACATTTTGTTGGCGCTTTTTCAATTATACATGAGTTTCAACCCTCAGCTTTTCTGTATCTGGGTGCAGTTCATGGGTGGGTTCGAGATACCTCTAGACAGAAAGGGGGAAAGTTCCTTCAAGGATGGGAAGTAGAAGGGTAAATTCCATGTAAAGAGGACAATAATTTGTGTGCATTGTTTTTCAAAATATGATGCCCAGATCACTGGTGCTAGACAAGATGTTATTAGTTGGAATGTCACTGAAATCTTAGTTTCTTTTTTATTGTTAAAAGTATTTCAGATGTCCCCTTCCCCCTCATTGATCCCCTCCACCTGGCTTCCACCCCCTTATTTAGTTTCTTATAATTTAATTTGATTAATCATGGCCAATGATATCAGTTTTTCATTTATGACATTCATGTTTCCTTTCATAACAAGCTTATCTACATAAAAGAATGCAAAAATATTAAATAACTATCCAGGTGGTACATAAATATGATAAAAACCACAAGGTAGGTACACAAATGGCGCAGTTTGGGGAGACACTGAAGCCAGGAGCAAGCGTCTTGTAAGGAAGCCCCGAGTCCTGCCAGGTCAAAGGTGCATGCCCGTCACCCGCAGAGAAGCAGCCTCGGTCCCTGCCCCTGCCCCGTACCGGCCGTGGGGAGCCCTCAAGCGCCGGGCTTTCTCATGCAGTTGCCAGTTTCCTTGAGGACTTCGGTTAAGGGATGCAGGGGAGCAGTTCCCTGGGGCCTAAACCGTGTTAGTCATAAGAACTGATGTTTAGGATTGCTCCAAGTGACACAGACACTCAGGTGTCCTTAATGAATTTGTGTGTGTGTGTGTGTGTGTGTGTGTGTGTAAGAGTGAGAGAGGCTGATTGATTGATTGATTGATTGATTGATAGGAGGCCTTCAAAAGCGGTGTCCAGGGTAAAGACTGCTCTGCCCAGGATTTAGGATGAAACTACTCTGCACCAACACTCGACAGGCCTTTTCCGAGTTCACCACATTGACCTGTTAATCGTGATACGGACGATGCTGCCAGGAGGTCCTGTCTTTCTCAGTGTGTTCCCTTTGAAGACTGCTGACTGCATTTCTCACTTGTTTTGTCTCGTTAGGAACTGGTGAAAGTGGCAAAAGCACCTTTATCAAGCAAATGAGAATCATCCATGGGTCTGGTTACAGCGACGAAGACAGAAAGGGGTTCACGAAGCTGGTTTACCAAAACATACTCACGGCCGTGCAAGCCATGATCAGAGCCATGGACACGCTGCGGATACAGTACGTGTGTGAGCAGAATAAGGTAAGTGCTCGCGGGCCGGGCCCTGTTGGTGATCGCATGCTTCCCTGCCCTGGCTGGCAGGTGCTCCTGAACAGAAGATTTACGGAGTGCTTTGGTCAGAGACCAGAAGACGCGCTTGAGCTCCAGCTCAGAGAAGTGTGATGCGCGTAGTCAGCCATGCGCTCCTGTTTATGCCCGAGCTCTGGCACGCTGTGGCGGGGCTCCCCCATGCAGGACCCAGAAACGCGGGCGCTGTGGAGTCTGCTTATTTCAGGCACTGAGGAAAGGGAGGCGTATGCATTTCTCTTTCTGCTGAGATACCCAGTTAGTTTTTCAGTGGAGCAACGGAGACCTTGGGTTTATAATGGCCAACTGTTAAGAATTCCCAGTCATAGGAGGTATTTTTACAAATGCCCTGTAGACTACTTGGAGAAAGCAGTGGGTTTTGTTTGTTTATTTTGGGAGCTAGCCCTTCTGGGGAGTTAAGTGAGAGCTTATGAGAGTGATGCTTATATCCCAGCTAGCAGTGCACTCTGATAAAGTAACGGTAGTGAGCTGGCATTGGCTTTCCTATCACCATGGGTTATTTAAAACACAAATCCGGGTAAGACCGGGAATAATGAGGCAGGATGGTGGGAGGACGAGGCAAATAAATTTTATAGGGGATATCGGAATGCAAAGCCATTGGAAAAGACTATGTCTGAGTTCATTAGGAATCTGGATTAGAAATAGAGTTTATTTAAAGCAATACAACGTGACATGATGATAAAGAGAAAAATTCCGTCTAAGGTGAGTCTTCTGTGGATCTATTAAAAAGGAATATAGCTGCTAAAAAGCCAGAATTGCATGGGCTTTACTGCAGACCCCAAGGACAACTCTATCATGAACTGGTGGCACCTGTATTCATGTATATTATATACATACATGTATATGTATGTATATATGCACACATATATATACACATATGTATGTATGTGTGTGTATGTATAATATACAAAGACTTTCAAAGCAATCAACCTAAACTTTTTATTTCTCAGTGATTGGATTGCCCAGAAAAACACAGCACATACCAAATCTTAGGCTTACTTTTACATCGTGTCTGCAGATTCGTGTCTACCACCATTTCCTTACCATCTTGAAGAAATAAAGGAATGTATTTTGCCTTTAGCTTCAACTGTTAACAGTGTGTGTGTTGAGGCAGGATTGCCCTTTAATATATCTGGTGCCAAGTAATGTGAGAGGTTCATAGGGAGCCATTGGGAGATTCTAGAAGTGACTCTGTTGATTCTTTTGCACATGGGTTTTGAGTACACGCTTTGCATCTTTTGAACCTGTGCCATTCTTTGTGTGTGTGTTTGTGTGTGCCAGTCTTTAATCACCCTGTATAAGGTATTTTTAAAAATAGGCCATCTGTGAAATTTTAGGATTAGAAGAGGTATGTCAGGAACCTTGTGGTTTAGTTAATCTATTTTTTTCTGTTCTAAAATGCATTCGGTTTCTCACAGCAAGGAGACCAGGGAAAGCTTGGAATTTAGGGATGGATTTGTGAACAGACCTATGGGGAAGAAAATGCTTAAGTGTAAGTCCGTTCTGCTTACCTTGGAGACGTGTCCGTAAAACCCAATCAGGTTTAGTAATCAAGGCCTCTGGGTTTTTGTTGTTTTGTTTTCCCTCAAGGTCTTCTAGGGCTGCTCTGAGTTTGTATTTGGAACAGAAAGGTTTTGTGGGGCTTGACACCTACCACTTCCTTCTTTTCCCTTCATCTTTATTCCTTTTCATCAGGCCATGTCCACTTGCCCACCAGTCCATGTTAGTTTCCTACAGCTGCTGTGACAAAGAACCTCACACTGGATGGCTTAGAAGATAAATTTGTGTGGCTAGAAGTCCAGAATTAAGGTTGATTAGTTCCAACGGGAGGCTCTGAGGGAAACTGTTGCGTGCTTCTCTCCTTGCTTCTGGCTGTTGCTGGCAACCTTTGATGTCCTTTCCAGACTCTGCCTCTGTCTTCACATCAAGTCTCCCCCCCC